CTGCTCTCGTCCCATGCAGCACATCTTCAAAGCGAGACTCAAAAGGATCTAACTGTCTCCAAGTGCCTGCACAGACTCCCACAACACAGCTCATGGATTATGTCTAGGAACACAGAATTACCCAGCACTCAAGGAAAATGCCCAACACACAACGTCTGACATCCCAGCAAAAAGAACCAGGAATACAAAGAACAGAAAAATCCAACCCTTACTGAGGAGAGAGATTAATCACTAGANATCCCAGCACTTTTCTTCACTTATCTGAAAGAAAGCCAGTAAGCCACAAAATTCCTAATCTCGGGTTTCTGTGTTCTTTACTCCTGTCATACAGAGCAAGGTTTCATTTTGGCAGGAAGCCAATGCAGTAGTGACAGGATATGGTGCAACCAGAATTCTGGTGGTAGGGCACCTATCTGGAGAGCAATTTTGTATCGTAGATCAAAAAAGCTTAAAAAATAAACGGAAAAGTAAATATTCAACTCACTAATAGTAACTCTTGGAATCTACCTTAAGTGAATAGTCATTCATGCAATGACTTATATACCAGAGTTTCACGGAATCATTACCAGTATTAGGGAAAAACATCAGAAATATTTAAATGTCCAATAATTACATCATAGTGCAGTTTTATGCATCCATTCGGTAACGTTTTTTGCTGTTGTGGAAGACTTTATAGGAAGTGGAAAAGCTAGAATTTTAAAAAATATTCAGGAAATTTGAATGCAAAACTTACAAATCAATACATTACATGTTATTGTTATACATTCAATGTACAAATACAACTATAGAACTAATAGAGTATTCCAAATATTGACAGTATTTAGTGCTTAACGACCGCACTTAATTGATATCCACTTTCTTTCACTTTCTTAATTGTTTTCATTTATTTTATACTTCTAGAATATCTGAATCCCAGAAACTCCCCTCCACCCTGAGGACAAAGGCGAAAGAATCTGTTGGTGCAGTAGTTGAAAAGAAACTCAGACACAAAATAGTAGCTCAGTTTTATTTTCTGCAGAAACAAACATTTAAGCATCCACAAAAGCAGTGGGCCAGGAGATATAAAGGAACAGTACAGGCGAAAAATTAGACCTCAATAATACGGGGGCAATTGCTCCAAATATCCATTTCCCATGCCTCGCCTAGTAGGAGAAACAAGGTTAGGACTCAAACTACTTTCCTCGTCGTTTTATTGGCCACGCCGGGAGCCAAATGCGGCGAATGTTCCGGATCAACAGGGAAAGCCGCTCAAGGAAATAGTTGACGGAAATTCGGAAGACATCAGGGTCTTCAGCACTCCATCTACTAAAAACGAAGAATGAGGAAAGGAAGGTTAAAGGTAAGAGCTCTTGTGGAGGGGCAAGGCAGTATGCCTCCTACTTACACCTAATCCGTCAGTGTCTCCATTAATGAACCCATCAGACGGATTGGCTCCCCGCACCAGATGTCCCCCCCCACCTCCAGATTCTTCTAGAACTGACACAACCAGGTCACTGCCGTTCACTCTGAATTCCTTCTGAACCACTCCTTCGAGGGGTTGGACAGAAGTGGCCAGGGTCCTGTGGGCCATGTCTGCCTCCAGAGGGGATCGAAAAGGTACAGTTAGAGTGCTGGTGGAAGATACGGTTAAGGCACCATCCGCTACCGGGTTTGCTCGTGCCTCAGACCTCCTCACACCTCAGAGGCCAGACTAGACCCCAGGCCTCGGAAGGCCCCCCTCCCACCAGTTCAGACCACCCGGAGCCGCCTCCCCACCCCTTCAGGCCTTCTTCCCCACCCTGCAGCCTGTAAAGGCACAGACAACTCCCTGTCCTGCCAGGATGCCCGCTCCTGCTGCCCTGGTGTTCCACTCTGGCCCTTCCACAGGCTGCCGCCAACCTCCCCGCACCCCACCCACAAATCTGTGCCTGGCCCATCCCATCCTCCCCGTGCCCATCCACCCCCTCCCCGCTCCCCCTGCCCCTGCCCAGGGGTCTCCTTGGACAGGATACAACTCCAGCAGTCGGCTTTCAGGCCCTACAGCTGAGGGCGCAGCATCTCCACTGGATCCTGGGGTTTGTGGTGTCTGCTTGCCCTGGAAAGTAGCGACGGCCACTTCATCCACGGCTCCTTCCATGCCGGGGCCGCCTTGGCCACCAGGTCTAACCTGGCTGTGAGGACCACCTTGGCCCTCAGGACCCCTCAGGCCACCCAGGTTATCAAGGCTGCTGCCGCCATCTTTGCCTTCGGTGCTGCCTGAGGTACCCTGGCGATCAGTGGCTTGGGGGCTACGACTGCCCCCTTGGACCCCTGAGCTGCCCATCGTGCCACCTAGGCCAAGGTCTGGCGCCTGCATGGCTGCCGCACCTTCCCCGAGAGCCCACC